CCTATAATAGCCATAGCACCCGCCCAGTACCCCCTAGAAATGTCTCTGTTTTTTATATTTATAACTTAATGTCATGTTTGAATTGTCTTTTTCGTGTTGTTTAAAAATTGTATTAAAATAATAATTAAAAATATATATTTTAGTCTTAAAAAACATGAGGTGCAAACATGTGATCTTAATTGGCCAATGGGCGCAGCGCCTGGTGAACCTTTGACCTTAACGTATGGCAGCTTGTTATTGATAGCAAGTTTGGAAATTTAGCAGAGTAAAATACACCAAAATGGATCATTTTTTGCTGCCTAAACATTCACGTTCTGAGTCACAACCTGAAGGGAAACGAGACTGTGAAGTTCTATGGTAAGTGCATGATTTTCCCCTCTGTTGGCTTTTACAAACTTAATTAATTTGGTGGTTGAAGCACAAATCTGGGCTCTTCATAGTTACATCTATGATGCTCCAACAATAGGAACACTGCTGATTCATCATTATACCAGTGTTGGTAACTGGCTGTGTGATTTCGTGATCTGAGCAGGCCGAAGCGTGCACAGTGTCTGTTGCCTTCTGTTGCTGCTGTTTGCTGCTCCGTTGTATTCAGGGCTCGACTGTGACTGAATTGTGTGAAATATTATTTTCAGAGGTTTACATTGGCAGGCTTATGTATGTTGTATCTATAGCCATTGTGTTGAATACTTTTACATATATATGCTTATTAGTCACGGAACGAGTATAGTTAATGCGCGCGTGTACGTATATGTATATATATATACACCAAGGGTGGTCCGATGCGACCTCCAGAATGAAACGCCCCAAAATTCAAAGCATCTTCTCTTAAGTGTTGAGCATCCCCATAGCATCTGTAACAGAAAATCTCTGAAGCCGCCACTGGTGTCTTTAGATCTTATAATCCTATATTTAATGACATAAATTGAACAGAGACAGAACAGTTCACATTTTCTATGCTTTGGAGCAGCTTCTCAGGCACCTCTGTTATCAGGGCCCTAAGCAACCTCTTAGTCCCCTTAGACCCTGGGCTGGCTATGGTCCATCTAGAAAGGACTCTGGGACAGTTGAGACCTGGACTGTGCTAAAGGGTCTTCAGTGAAACCAGCTCAGTGTCAGTGTTGGAAGGTTTCTGTATGTGAGCTCTCAACTCTTCATCCATGCTCTTCCCTTCAGAGTATTAACCGTTAAAAATCAACCTCAGCCAAGGTGCTTCGAGCTGTCAGACCAGTTCAGACACATTGTTCACTGATGATGTGAGCTCAGGTTATAATCAAGCTGCGTCTGATTATACTTGACAAACACTAACAACATTACATGTAAATCTTTCTAAAAGCATCGTCCTTTAACTCAGAGAGAAATTCAAGTACAGAAAGCAAGTTTCAAAGATATACTCTGAAACAGCTCATCAGCATATGGAAACATTTCTACTGTCCAGATAAACAGAGATACAGCACAATGTGATCAAAGTCATCCTGATGATCAAACATTTACACATTTCTCTGGTAGGATTCTCACCTGCTGAACTCACTTCAGGTCGACTTACAGACACTTTCTACCTTCACGTGTGGAGGAAACACTGGGAGAGAAGAAGCTGCTCCTTTCTTCCTCGTCAGTCCTGGTGTCTGTGTGCATTTTATCTGAGGACGCCATCACACCCTCAAAACTTCACGGTCCAAGTCTAACAAACACCAGAGTGACGTCAGAACCAGTTAAACAAGAATCAGACTGCACCCTATCAAAAGCATTTTTATTTCCTTCTTCCTCTCCCTGAACTGTCGGAGTGTTGGGGATGTGTTTGTATTGTTTTAGATCCATTTGTCATTATAGTTGATGAAGGCTGCAAGAACAAAAGTGCTTTAAACCTCTGAATACGTTGTTGGCATTGAAATAGAGTCGCACCTTTCCTCTATCTACAGTCAGTGTCAGAGAAATCACTGATCAGATATGTAGTTCCATTATCTGTCCATTAGATGGTGCTAATTAATCATACAGTCCCCTTCCCTTTGTAGATAAGAACTGCTAATCCTAAGGAACCAAAAACACAATGTTCAGGTATTTATACACTAATAAAAACATACCTATGAATACTATATTCCATTTCTGACAATAAATCATTTGCAGTGTTACACAGTGGATCTTCACAAATGACAAAAAAAATTCTTATTTATGAATATTCTTCTACAGTGACTTCAAGTCTCAATGTCCATCCATGTGACGTCAGAACCAGTTTAACCTGTGGCAAAAACCCAGTCAGTGTCAGAGAAATCACACATCAAATGATGTAGTTCTACTATCTGTCCACTAGATGGTGCTAACTGACCATCTCATTAAATAAAGATCAGCAGAGCATCATCTGCTGCTGGCAATTATTTCTGACTATCAACAGGACTCTACAGGTCAGAGTGAACCAGACATTAGGCTCATTCGAGATGAACTGCAGCTGTAAAGAGGACAAGATGAGGCAACAGCAGCAGGAGGTGGTGACAAAAAGCTGCAGTCAAGTCGGGCAGTTTTCAGCATCCTTCAAATAACATAGATAAAGTCAAAATACATTTTGTATCGTGTTAATTCCACCTGTAGTTTTTAGACATTTGCTAAGACATTGTTTCATATTCTCAGTGGCTCTAAAAACTACAGCCACCTCATACATGATGTCAGAGCAGTTTAGCATCATTAATGGTAAGGTATATATGTATATTATATATACTGAATAAAGTCTGTTTTTGTTCCACTGTGAACGGTAACCATCCAGATATATGTTAAATATGTATTGGATGAATTCATTTCAATTTCTGTTTATCAGTATGATGTTACATTAATGATTGAAGGGGTTTAATTTAATAACATATTTTAAGGGATATTGAAACCAAACCATTGGGCATAAACAGAGGACGACTCACAGAACTGTTAACCAGCATTTATTTGCTCCTGCAGAAGACAATATAGCACATTCATTTCCTTCTGCTCTTTTTTTCCTGCACCTCTGCTTCCTCAGCAATGCAAAACAACACTGTGTGATTTAATTATCTTTCTGAAAATACATATAGATAAATTAGTTTAAACATTACAGTGTATATGTAACTCAATGTGCATATTACAAAAACAAAACAATTACTAAAAGAGCCGTTACAGGTTACCAGAAAACATTTAATTTTAATAACAAATCTATATAAACTATATAGAATAGGTTAAACAGAGTAAAACGTGTGTGTGGGGTGGGTGACTAAACAGAAACAACACGAAGGAGCTACGGAAGTTCGGGAGTTACGGAAGGACAAAGTTCAGAAAACTCAATTTCCACTGGAAAAAAACCAGTAAAAAACAGTAAATGAAAAATAACTCAATGAGATCAAATTCAGACTCAATGAAAATGAATAAAATCCACAAATACATGTAACACTGTCTAATGTACATATAATAAAATGACTGTCATGTACTCTCACTTTAGGCCTATCAGAAGAAATAGATACGCTCAAGGAGGATTGATGGAACAGGACAACGGTTTGAAAAGAGTTGTAACAAATAGCTTTATTGGCAACAGTGCAAAACATAATATATTTCAGATATGACTGAAATTCCTTTATTGTATCAGAAGTTATCAACAACTCAGAAAATTACACTGAATAACGCTCAGTAGAAAACAAAACTCTTCACAGTATGAGTTATGAAATATGGGCCCAAAATAATAAACAAGAAAGAAAATTCAAAAGAAAAAGTCTGAATGAAGTCAATATTCACAGTTTGTCCTTCTTCAGTGTGTTTGTGTAATAGTTCATCTACCCGGGTAGTGTGACTTTATGTTTTATTATCTGTATGAAGAGATGTTCTCTCCAATGCACAGTGAAGCTCTCGCTGACGTCACACCCTCCACGATCCAATGGGCTAGGTTCTGGCTCGTCATCAGAATCCACTCATACAATAAAACCAACCTGCATAGAGCAGTAGTAGTAGCATCTCTTCAATAACATCTTATTTATCTCGTTAATCTCTTTTTATCTATTTATCTTAACTGTACAGTATTAACTCTCTTTTTATCTTAAATCAATGAACATGAATTATTCAATGACAAAGTTTCATATACAGCTGCACAATAACTTTAACAGCCAACACACAATTATGTATATGACTTTTAAATGGTTTTAACTCATCACAGCTTAATGTACACAAATTATGAAATGAATGTTTTTACCCAAGAAAATGAAATGAATTATCTTCTGTAAACTCAAGTTCACACAGCTGCGTGTGTTTGAGCTCAACAACCAGCTTACTTAGCTGTATAACATGTGCTAGTGCAATTAACACAGCTCAACACATGTTTATCTGTCTCCGGTTGGTTTTTAAACACTATCACAGAAGCATAACTATACTACGGAGCCCCTAAAGGGACATGGGAAAAAAAAAAAGGAAACATATCTAATGCGCACTACTAAAAACCCTCTTCCTTGTACAGAAGTCCTCAAAAATTGTAATTTTAACAACTTTACAGGCAGTTATCAACTTTATCAAACTCGTCTCTCACGTGGTGCTCTGGTCTGCATCGGTGCATAAAAAACCGGGAACAGAGAAAGAAACAAGGAAACTAAAGGCTGTTATATACTCGCCGTTCCCGACCTGTAGCGCGACAATGTGACGTCAAGGGAGCGCCGTAACTATTTATACTTGCACGTGGTGGTGGTGGCCGCTCTTCTTCTGCCCTCAGCCCTAGCGCGGTTCCCAGAAAGACAAAAAAAACTTGCGCGTGGTGGTCGCGACACGAGCTGCAGTCTTCTCCTGAACAGAGGTGTCGCTACCAGGGGTGGACTGGGACAAAAATTCAGCCCTGGCATTTTGTGTCCAGACCAGCCCACTACATTATCAGCAGACACTACATAGAAGTCCACAAATCTCACAGCATCTCCTCTCATGCATACTACAAAGGAGAGTCATATTCCTTGATAGCAGTTAACAAATAAAGCACGTAACTATGAACTCAAGGACTAAAATTGACAGCTATAGCAATCAATCAATCAGTCTTTATTCATTATAGTGTCAAATCACAACAGAAGTTATGTCATGACTAGGGGTGGGACGAGACTAACGGGAAGAACCCTCATGCTACCCTTTCAGTTTTTAGTCTGTGACTGTGAAAATCTTTTGGTGTAAGCCCAGCATTAGTTAAAACCAGACTCGGACAATAATAACAAAATATCCTGACAAATAATCTAAATAGAAACATATTACAGACAGTAGCAGCATTAGAGCTGAAACTCATTTGTTTTAACGGTGACTCAGTCATTATGAAACCATAAATAGAGAATTGAAAAACAAATAATGATCTATAGCTGTGTGAAAAAGTCTAAGACATGAATTACAGGTCTGAATAGATATGCATTCTCATATACGTGTATGTGCACATGTATATATTGCCCTACTTCCTCGTCCGCAGCCAGCCAGCTCCACTCCTCACCAAATTCATGACCTGCAAGAAACAGCAAACAGAACTTGTACTCAGTATCTGTGTACTGACAAGTATGTGTAGCCATGTAGCCTTTTTGTGATGTAGTGACACTTAGTGAACAACTTTTTCTGTCATGAAGGATGACTGAAGTCTCAAAAGAGCCCTAAGGCCTACCTGCATAACTGTTAACTGAACTTAAAAGATATGCAGATGTTTGAAATTAAAATCATCAATATGAAAATCTTCAATAATTAATCAAACTTTTTGTTTCAATCTGAGACAAAACAAGTTGCATAATAAACTCACAAAGTCAAGACGAAGCTCTCTCTCTCTCTCTCTCTCCTGTTTGACAGGAGATGATGGTAGCAGAGAATATAAAGAGACATTTATGAATTACCAATTGTCATTTTATCACACATATAGTATGTTTCTTCACATAAACCTTTAAACATACACATATTGCATTCCTCTCACCACATGAAATAAGCTCAGGAACCCAAAAGTGGCCCAGTGAATGATGGAGGAGACAAAGCAGGTCCTCAAAAGGGGACAGAGGGAAAACAACTCCTTAGGCTCTCATATATAGGGTGGTCAACCTAAAAGAGACATGGAAACATTATTAAGTCATCATCACAAATCAAGTATGAATTCATATAACATTATAAGACACATGACATACTCAACCAATCAGCCAGTCCAAAAGGAGTGGCGGGGCAAGTCCCGACAGACGGAGGGGGAACAACTCCTCAGGCTCTCACATGTCAAGTGGTCAGCCTGAGAGATTATTGGATACATTATTAATTCTGAAAATAAAGACAATGTTTTCCTCTGTCCTGCACCTAGAGTTGAAAACTTTTTGGATGTGCGTTTCTTTTAAAACTTTTTTAAAATTATTATAATTATGAAGTATGAATAACATTAAAAACTACATGATAAACTTACCAAATTCTAACAGTGGTCCCAAATGAGAGAACAAGTCCACATATAGAACAGAGGGAGAACGACTCCTCAAATATATCAGAACAACCTGTAATGGAGAATAATTGATCATTTAGTGTACATGATCACACCATTAATAACCACAGAATAATGTACAAGATAAAAGATTAGTTCATATTGAACTAAACGTTCACGAGCGTAACAACACTAATGGCTTTGTCATGTTTTCATTATGACACTAGTGTTTTCCAATGCAAGAAAGTCAGATCTTTGTGACAATACCTCACTGTAACAACATTACCTTCAAATTTACAGTAACTTACTGGCAACAATTAACCAGCAAGTTACTGTAAATATGTTTTACAGTAGACATACTGTACTTCCATTTACAGTATTGGTGTAGTTACTGTAAAATAAATACCAATTAAATACTGTGATTTCAGTTTATTTTACAGTATTGAGAGTTTAACTGTAAAGTAAATACCGATTAAATACTGTGATTTCAGTTGTTTTTACAGTGCTGGTTTATTTACTGTACAAATAAAAACAGTTAAGCACTTTTTTTTAATTTTTTTAAATGGTATTGTAAATGGCAATACTGTACTATTAACAGTGGGTAACAGTTGATCATTGTAAATTCAGTTACTCACTGTACAATTTAAATACTGTATCACTTTTATTTACTATTATCCAACATTAATAGAATGACCCATATTCTAAAATATTTCAATTAACTACAGAAAACAAGAAAATTGTTAACACAATTATTTATTTAAGACATTTGGTGAACAGGAACATGATAAAGCACAGGTTACCAAACTTTTCAGACCAAGTACCACTTCAGAACCAACACAACAATGAAAGAGACACCTCTACTTTGTCTGACTACTGCAACTACCCAGGCACGCCTGAAATATTAGAAACAAGAAATCAAAAATAAAAAAGCTTGTTACGTCAGCCGAGCTTCACAATTATACATTTACTTTAAAATACTGAACATTTGCATGAACAATGCATCAGGACACTGTAAAATCTTCTCATTCCCCTCACACTTGAAATAAAAGTCTATGGCCTCTTGCTTGCCCTGAACTTGGAGACCCAGATCCCAGTTGGAGCCCTGAAATTAAAGAAGAAAACAAACAATTACATTTATTACAATCACTTTGTAATGCACCACGTATGTGATGAGGGTCTAAGATGGTGATGTCGTGTCAAGGTACTTATTCCTGATAGAAAGTGTATCAAATATCCAAAGATGACAGTGCTGCATTCAGTTTAAGGTAGCCGACATTTTGATTCAATATGTAATTGAGTTTAGCAATGTGTTAAAATGCTTAAAGAGATGTTGAATTAACTGTGTTTTTATCATGTTTTTGATTGATCATGAATTACAGCATGTTTGATTTTTCCTGCTGAAGTCGACTCAAGAGCCTTCATCAGTGGACCATAGTCTCCATCAGCATTCAATCACTGACACAACAGTAGCTTAACACACATTATTTAATAAAATATCTGAGAGAACATCTTTGAATAAACCATCTTGAACTTTCAATGCAAAAGCTATCGTCAGAACCTCACCTGCATCTAGTCAGTTTGCCAATCGAACTCAGTGAAGTCCCTGATGAAGGAGATTGGGGGTTCATGTATGAAGTCTTCCGCTTCACCACTCTCCCAGTCTTCCGGCTCATCTGCTCCTTGGCACTGCACTTGGTGGAGTCCGGATTAATCCCGACTAAAAACCTATGAAAATGAGTACAGGAGTTAAGGGTGGGACAATATGTACATGTTAACGAGTAACCGGTTACAAATCATAACTGTTTGCAGAGAAAAACAAAACAAACTTTATCAAATAGATCAAAATAAAGAAAATACAGTATCTTGGACATGCATCAACTTATTTCTCAGAATTATTTTCCTTTTACTGATTAGAGGTGATAATACTGTCTGAAAAACACTTGTTACTCCAAGTGTTGACACAAGCGCAGTTCTGTTACAAGTAATACATGTATGGGGCATAATGTCACATTAATTAAACAATGCCAGTGGGAATAAAGTTCAGTATATATATTTATCAGGCACACGCAATGCATGTAGTAGGATCAGCAGTGCTTACTACTCTCCATATGTCTCTTCATTCTACAGCTTTTGCAATGACGTGACTGGCCCATTAGAAGCACGACCGTTGGCCTCTCTTGATCCTCATTGGATAAATTGAAAGTGAAGCGGGAAAAAACTTTGATACAAAATAAAAGTCCCATAATAAGTCAGTTTGACCCTTCGATAAGCCCCGCCCCCTAGTTACTGTTGCTATGTCAGAGCCCGTCTACGGATCCTTATTAGACATTCTTTGGAAATATGGAGTTTTCAGTGATATCAATAAGAGATATTCCAAAGGAAATCACAACAAATGTCTGGAAAAACTGTTAGAGAGATATGATGAGATGAGATAAGAAGACATATATAAGATATAAAGGGTCAAACTTATGATAAAAAAAAACATTAGATCAAAATTAAATAAAAAAATAAAAGTGAATCATTGTTTTTGTTATGATATACTTTTTTAAAATCTAATACACACAATAAAGGAAAAATACAGTAGTTTACTATTTTACAGTACTATACTGGCTATTGTGATTTTCTTTACAGTAACCCTTAAACTACTGTGATTTTGTCACGTGGACAAGGTTTTATTGTAAAATTTACAGTATTCTACTGTAAAAATCATACACAGTAATGTTACTGTGTTTACTGCAGTCAATAACTGTAGATTTCACAGCCATTTTTTACAATGCTCAAGACAGCACTATACACAGCCATTTGAAAACTCCAGTAAAAGTAACACATTTACACAGAAATTAAAGTTACACACAAATTATACCTACGAAATAGTTATCACCTCAGTAAACAATAAATGAATTGAAAGATTACAATAAATTCAATGGCAAAAATTGCAAATTAAACTAATTATTTCCTCTAGGTTTACTTGTATTTTGTGCTCAAATTCAAAGTATCTCATCTGTATTTACAATATTGATTCTGCATCTCTATTTACAGTCATCAGTCCATGTCAATGGTTACTGTTGCTACGGCAACAAGAGACTGTTAGCCAGCTTAGAACAATTATAACCCATAATATCACAATTCGGCATATTTAAACCAAATCAACCACAACTACCAACAGTCACAGCCCTTCAACTCTGGGCTAATATGTTGTCACAAGTATGCAGTTAATGAGGTCCCATCACATTCAATGGAAAAACCAGGCTAACGTTACTCACCATGTCTGCCTCCACTCGCTCGTCTCCCGGCGCAGCAGCACCTGCTGGGGTGGTGACCCCGGCACCAAATAGGTCTGTCAATGTCCAACATTTAGCAGCTTCCACCTCCAGAGACTTCAGCTTTTTAACGTTAAGTTTCAGCGCCACCCGGGTGTTTCTTACGGTTATCCATCTTCAGCTCAGCAGCAGCCCGTCCCGCCACTCCGGCCCATGCCATGAGGTCCCGCCCACCCTGGTTTGTGTTGTGATTGACAGCATTGATTGATTGACAATGACAGACATAGACCAATAATATGTGTCGATGCTGGCAACACACTGCTAGCCCTCTGTAGCCAACTGGAGGGAATTTAGAGAGAGAGAAAAACAAAAACATAGCGGACCGGACCACATTGGGTCAACGGCCCACCGGGACGATGCCCGGTGCTCCCGATGGCCAGTCCACCCCTGCCAGTGGCGGACTGGCCATCGGGAGCACCGGGATATTTCCCGGTGGCCTGGCCTGGCGATTGCCGATGGTCGGGACGATTTTGAAATAAACAATCCGTCGTGCGGCTCATTAGGGTATCTGCCTCACTGAAAGTCACACAGACTGAGCAGCAACGTTGGGCACAAACACACACACACACACACACACACACACACACAACACACACACACATCAAGAATATTGCAAATGTTAGAATATGGTTACCTAACATAGACACAACATAATACATTATATGAATATTGAAATCCTTGTATTATATTGTTTCATTGAACCTTTATTTAACCAGGTAAAATCCAGTGGCGGCTGGTGAAAAATATTCTCGGTGGGGCTGTGCCATACATTTTTGTTTCCGTAACCATCGCAATACAATTGAACACAAACTGCAGGACACCAGTGCTCAGTGAAATAGTCAGTAATTATTTAATGCCAATATTAGTTGAGGCATTCTTACACAAAAACATAAACATCATATTGCACAAACACAAGAAACAAACAATTGACTATTTCTACACTTAACATCTTTTGTGGAAAGTGGACAATAACATGAAATTATTATAAAGTTTATAGGAAATCTTACACTGTATAAAGGATGTATAATATAGAAATGGATATCAAGTGGCTGAACTCAAACCTTTGACTGGAAGAATAGCATACAGTATTTTATGATCAAACTAAATGTAACTAATTGTTAATGTGCTCCAGAACTGCAACAATTCATTGATACAAAACAACACATATACAGTAATATTAGCAAACACACTATTAAGACTTTCTAGAGTACCATATATAACTGGATGATTCTTTATGCTAAGGTCAACTATATACAAAGAAACATGTGGTCAGTGCTGCGGGTGTGTGTGTGTGTGTGTGTGTGTGTGTGTGTGTGTGTGTGTGTCATCTTATTTGTACAGGAATTTTGCC